TTCAGGTAACAGATACGTGTTGGTGCTAGTTGACCATCTGTCTAGGTACACTACACTATTTGCATTACCTCAGAAGGATTCTCGTACGGTTGCAGATGCGTTCTTGCGTAGGTTCGTTACTGTATTCGGACCTCCTAAAGTTTTAGTCTCTGACCGGGGTCAAGAATTCAATGGGAATATATTTAGAGAAGTTTGTAAGATTTTAGAGACAACTTCGGCTTTGCCTACCACCCACAAGCAAACGGAATGACGGAACGGACTAATCGTTCAGTCAAGGATATGCTTGCAATCCTTGCTGAACATGACGGAAACACCTGGGATGAACACCTACCCTATGTTCAGTTCGCCTTGAATACTGCCATCCACCAATCAATTAACACCCAACCACTTCATTTGTTTACTGGTAATTCATGCAATTTCCCCTCAGGTCTGCTTAACAGACATAATGTTGCATACGGGGAGGACTATCCTTCAGAGGTCCTTGGAAAAATGAGAAATGCATGGAATATTGCAGCTGAAGCGTCCAAGAAGGCACGGACTCGGTATGCTCATTTTTATGACAAGAAAGTGCGCCCCCTTGAGTTGAAGGAAGGAAGCCTCGTATTGAGAGTGAATGAGGCTGCGCCCGCCAATCAGAGCAGGAAACTAGCTCCGAGGTGGAGAGGACCATATAGAGTAATTAAAAGGTCGGGGCCGGTTAATCTTGTTATAAAAGGAGTATTCGAGGACCAGGTGGAAAGGACAATTCATGTAAATAAATTGAAACATTATCATGCTAGAGAGGAATTAGAACAGCCTTCAGCGGGTCTAGTTCCTGACTCAGCAGTGCTGACTCAGGGCCTCACCGACGAGTCAGAGGATGAGGATGACCCTCTGTTATCGCTCATCAGTAGTCAGGTGCAGTCTCGCCACCCTATGGTGACGAGATCTCGCGCTGTACAGTAAAGTAACTTCCTGGTTAGTATAATTTAGGATTCATTAGATTTTCCTGTAAAGGCAATGAGGTGAACTATCTCTATACTTGACTCAGGTAGCAGCTTTTACCGTGCTCTGAGGTTCCACCCCCACCAAACCCAGAGTATATCTATGCTTCCGCTGTGTTGTGTCTGTTCCCAGGTCTGATTGGTACACCGACCCAGTTGTTCCAGCCACACGTGAACCCTTGTCTGTAAAGACCGAGGGGGAGCCACGTTACACAAAGCCCTCCCCCACCAGACCCGGTAACCCATACATCAGTTACTTTGGGGATGAGGGACTATCCAAGAGTCACCCGGCCGACGCCTCACGTCACTAACGAGGTTGTCAGGGCCAGCGAGCTGTCCACATTACAGCAGTCACCGGAGGTGCCATACAACGCCGGGGTAGCTGTCTCGAGATCACCAGTACCCACCTGCTGCATCATCAAGACTGCAGCCATTCCAGCAGTGTTGGAGGAGAGGTCAAGAAATGGAAAGCACGTAGCAGTACTCAAGAGTTTCGCCGGAAGATTAATGATTACGTCATCTGAAGTAACAAGAAAGCGGAACTAAGGCGGTCACAGGTGGAAGGCACGGTCTCCCTACAGAGTACCCGGACTCGCCAACAGAAGGTCGCAAAATTGCCTCCTTTGGCCTAAAGTCGGCGGTACGAGGGTATACACAGTTGGTGTTTACGGCCTAGTAACCTGGTGACATCAAGAAACGCCCGAGATGTCGTGAGCAATGATGGAAGACGATATTCACCTGTACTGCAAACAAGCAACCCGCCTCTACGACCTTCTGACACCACTCCTGCTACGAGACACTGTTGGTACATCCAGTCCTGCTCTGCTGTGGTCATCTGCGACGTCAAGTTAACATCAAGACTGCCGTGTGAACTGTGATTGATATGAAGGCGTGTGGACTGTCGAGAGCAAGATCAATGGCCGAAGTAACAGTATTCTACAGCTGTCACTTGGCACTCCGCTCTACTACACTCTGTCGTCATTCAAGACTACCGGATGGGAGCACAAGAGGACCAGGTATTGATGTCTACACATGGGAAGAAGCAAGATCGACACCGTCATCATCAGCGACTACATTCAGCACCCAGCAGCATCGATTTTTTTTTCTCGATTACTCAATATGAACAATTGATACAAACAACAAAGTTGGCTCTGAACATTTGTATAAAGAACATCTGGACACTTTTATTTAAATGTTGAAAAACAGAGTTAGAATCACAATACTTTTTAAATGTTGAAAAACAGATTTAAAATAATTGTGGTATAATATATGAAAATTTTACTCTATGTATTGGTCATTGATTAAAATCGAAGCCCCTGTGTAATTGTTTAAGCCCAGAACAAACGGTTATGGAAAATTATGTTGTGTGCTGCTTTTTCAGAATGTTTGAACACAGGAGAGGCGGACCAATATAAACATTGACACTTCTAGCGAGTGAGAACACTTGGCTGTACAGTCAGCTGAAACCTGTGATATAGTATAGTAGAATTTTTGTTTATATTATTAGATACTTGTAATAAACGTTATGTGTGTTCCTTAGCATGTCAAGGTTGACATTGATGGGGAGTGGTCAGTACACGGAGGTGAACCTGATAGTTCTGTAGTACGCTCCCGGATGACTGAAAGTTCAGTCTGAAGATATAACTTTAATGTTTATGTTTGAGCACGATGTGGCCGGCTCTAGAGGACATATGAACTTGGCTAGTGAAGAGCCAAGAGATTTTAATAGCTAGTCTTTGATGTTAGAGTAGGGACATGTTATTTAGCTGTCAGTAAGGATAGGATGTATGTTTCCTGATGTTGGAGGATTACTGTCAGTTGACAGCCGAGACATTTATGAATTTAAACATGTTGATGATGTTGGACACTCAAATATTTGTCAAATTTTCTTAGTTAGGTTAGCTTTTGTTTGTGGCATGAGTTGAATTGTGGGTTTGGATACTAAACCTCGTTATTTTTAACAAATTAACAAGGTGTACTAAGTGCTTGTGCGGTGGGGGGGGGGGTTGTAACAAACTAGGCTGTTGTAAGAATTATCCAGAAGGTTCCAGAAGTCGGGTAAGGACCTGACCTCTCAACGCGCATTCCTCTGGGGATTAGCAAGTCTGAGTCACAAAATGGCGGACATCTTTGTTCATAGTTTTGTATAATGAACCATTCTATAGTATTCACTTATTTAGAGAAATTAGCCTTTATTCATTTTGTATTAAAATGGTATTATATAATATTACTGGGTACAATATCAAGAGTATTCTAATTATTGAGTTAAGTCACCATCAGTGACGTCACGAACCAGATCTAAGTTGTAAGGCAGAGTGACCTGGCGGTCATAGGTCATCAGGGTTGACATGTCCACTAATTCTCAAAGTTCAAATAACCATTTTGGGGATCGGGAATAGCTCTCCCTTAAGAGGCTTGTGTAATTTAACTTCAGTAAAATATTTCAACCAATCTGGATCAATTCAGTGCAACAGAGGTTAATTGTTAAACTTAAGCCTTGCTAGTAACTTGGTAAAACTTAGACTATGCGGAAGGATACAATGCTCTAGTCTGGGGAAGACCAGACGAGGAGAGATTAGTGTGTGATCGAGATCAACCCATCTCACCTCTCCCCCAAGACCAGCCCCAACATCTGAGCTGTCAACATAGAGGTATAGTTGCTATTGTTATTTATGGGGATAGTCAATTCATTGCCAAGTAGGGAGTGTTAGATTGATAGGGAGTGCTCACCTTTAGATTTTGTTTTAGTTTTTCTTTTGAATAAATTAATTAGTTAATAATCTGCATTTTCATTATTTCCATGTGTTTGTTATATGTATGTGAATTTGTCCTGGTCACGTGGTCCCTACGAGGCAGAGTTGAATTGGGTGCCGATTCTAACACCAAATCGGAAGTCATCTTTACCGTTGATTTTTTTTAAATAATTCCACACTCAAGTTCCAAGGTCATATGTTACTAGTGGGGATCAAGCCCCAAGGTTGATTAATTAGCATGATCGATCCAGACCTCGATCATTGCTCAGTGTTACTGGTCTGGTGGTGGCGGCGGAGGCGACTCTAGGGTTTTGCTCAAAGCCTAGGTCACGTCATACGGGTTGTAGAATCCTAAGTCGGTCAATCGTCTTAGGACCACGTGGCGTGGAGTCGGCTTTAGTAAAAGTTTTGGAGTCCCTTGGTAGAGAATAAAAAGTAAGAATACGGGTAGAGGGGGAAAAAGGTAGGAAAAAGGTAGGAAAGATAATTCGAGAACACCCTCCCCGTGTTACATCAGCATGCTTCTGAATCTTCTCTAACCTTGTTTTGCATTTAACTAGGCTTTTAACTAGGCATTTAACTAGGCTGGAGCAGCATATTGCAGGATCCCGTTTTCTGTTTTGGATCCTGTGGTAGGTTAGCATAAGGGCACTTTAGAACAACAGTTTTTAGACGTTGGGAAACCTTAGCAGGACGGGCTGGCAAAAAGAACCTCCTCCTCCCCAATAAATTAACCGTGTCTGGCGGCGACAATTAACATCCAAGCCCTGTAACACTTAACATACCAGGCCAAGTAACCTGTAACTGAGGGAGCGGGACGATCACGATGCTCATCCTATATAGGATCCCTATAGGATCCATATAGAATTCCTATAGGATCACTATAGGATCACTATAGGATCACTATAGGATCCCTATTGGACTCCTATATGATCACTATAGGATCACTATAGGATCACTATAGGATCACTATAGGATTCCTATAGGATTCCTATAGGATCACTATAGGATCACTATAGGATCACTAAAGGATTCCTATAGGATCACTGTAGGATCACTATAGGATCACTAAAGGATCAGCATCTCAGAAGATGTTAAATCAACTGATACATTTTTAATCATCTGATCCTCCTCTAATACTCCACCTTTCTTTACCATCGTCATATTCATCTAAACATTCAACATTGCAACGAAACTGAGAGGAGTAAAAAGTTAGTTTTCCTGAGGCATTTCAATAGTCTATAATCATAAGAATATTTATATCAACATTTTATTACAAGAATTGCTGGAAATGCGAACCAGTGACATGTATAAATAAATGAGTTCTAATCTACAGGTTTCTTTGAACATTTCTCAACATAGAACGGAGTCGTTAGTGGAATGGTATCCACTGTAGCACATCAGTCGTGAAATATGTTGCATGTCTCTCATTGCTCTCTTGCAACACAAGTGCCTCCATCTCCATGTTACAACACAAGTGACTCCATCTTGGAACACAAGTGCCTCCATCTTGCAACACAAGTGCCTCTATCTTGGAACACAAGTGCCTCCATCTTGCAACCCAAGTGCCTCCATCTCCTGCCTGGAATGATCACCATTAGGGTATAATTATCATCTGAAATATATAACAAAATCAAGTAATCCTAATAACATTAAGCTTTTCAGTTTATTCCAATTATTTAGAGTTTTCAATTCATTCAATTAATTTCAAGCTTGACAAATAATCTCAACAATTTCAAGCATTTCAGTAACCTTTAACATTTATTTCTTTTAGATTTTTTTGTTTAAATGTCACTAGTTCACAGGAAGCAAACTTTCTCAGATCTTTTGTTGAAATTCTTAATTGATATTTTCTTTCCCATCACAACGACCTCGCCTGAAGTGCCCGTGCCTGTTACTTACCTCGCCTCAAGTGCCCGTGCCTGTTACTTACCTCGCCTCAAGTGCCCGTGCCTGTTACTTACCTCGCCTGAAGTGCCCGTGCCTGTTACTTACCTCGCCTCAAGTGCCCGTGCCTGTTACTTACCTCGCCTCAAGTGCCCGTGCCTGTTACTTACCTCGCCTCAAGTGCACGTGCCTGTTACTTACCTCGCCTGAAGTGCCCGTGCCTGTTACTTACCTCGCCTGAAGTGCCCGTGCCTGTTACTTACCTCGCCTCAAGTGCCCGTGCCTGTTACTTACCTCGCCTCAAGTGCCCGTGCCTGTTACTTACCTCGCCTCAAGTGCACGTGCCTGTTACTTACCTCGCCTGAAGTGCCCGTGCCTGTTACTTACCTCGCCTCAAGTGCCCGTGCCTGTTACTTACCTCGCCTCAAGTGCCCGTGCCTGTTACTTACCTCGCCTGAAGTGCCCGTGCCTGTTACTTACCTCGCCTCAAGTGCCCGTGCCTGTTACTTACCTCGCCTCAAGTGCCCGTGCCTGTTACTTACCTCGCCTCAAGTGCCCGTGCCTGTTACTTACCTCGCCTCAAGTGCCCGTGCCTGTTACTTACCTCGCCTCAAGTGCCCGTGCCTGTTACTTACCTCGCCTCAAGTGCCCGTGCCTGTTACTTACCTCGCCTCAAGTGCCCGTGCCTGTTACTTACCTCGCCTCAAGTGCCCGTGCCTGTTACTTACCTCGCCTCAAGTGCCCGTGCCTGTTACTTACCTCGCCTCAAGTGCACGTGCCTGTTACTTACCTCGCCTCAAGTGCACGTGCCTGTTACTTACCTCGCCTCAAGTGCACGTGCCTGTTACTTACCTCGCCTGAAGTGCACGTGCCTGTTACTTACCTCGCCTGAAGTGCACGTGCCTGTTACTTACCTCGCCTCAAGTGCACGTGCCTGTTACTTACCTCGCCTGAAGTGCACGTGCCTGTTACTTACCTCGCCTGAAGTGCACATGCCTGTTACTTACCTCGCCTCAAGTGCACGTGCCTGTTACTTACCTCGCCTGAAGTGCACGTGCCTGTTACTTACCTCGCCTCAAGTGCACGTGCCTGTTACTTACCTCGCCTGAAGTGCCCGTGCCTGTTACTTACCTCGCCTCAAGTGCCCGTGCCTGTTACTTACCTCGCCTCAAGTGCCCGTGCCTGTTACTTACCTCACCTCAAGTGCCCGTGCCTGTTACTTACCTCGCCTCAAGTGCCCGTGCCTGTTACTTACCTCACCTCAAGTGCCCGTGCCTGTTACTTACCTCACCTCAAGTGCACGTGCCTGTTACTTACATCGCCTCAAGTGCCCGTGCCTGTTACTTACCTCACCTCAAGTGCCCGTGCCTGTTACTTACCTCACCTCAAGTGCCCGTGCCTGTTACTTACCTCGCCTCAAGTGCCCGTGCCTGTTACTTACCTCACCTCAAGTGCCCGTGCCTGTTACTTACCTCACCTCAAGTGCACGTGCCTGTTACTTATATCGCCTCAAGTGCCCGTGCCTGTTACTTACCTCACCTCAAGTGCCCGTGCCTGTTACTTACCTCACCTCAAGTGCCCGTGCCTGTTACTTACCTCGCCTCAAGTGCCCGTGCCTGTTACTTACCTCGCCTCAAGTGCCCGTGCCTGTTACTTACCTCGCCTCAAGTGCCCGTGCCTGTTACTTACCTCGCCTGAAGTGCACATGCCTGTTACTTACCTCGCCTGAAGTGCACATGCCTGTTACTTACCTCACCTGAAGTGCACATGCCTGTTACTTGCCTCGCCTGAAGTGCACATGCCTGTTACTTACCTCGCCTGAAGTGCCCGTGCCTGTTACTTACCTCGCCTGAAGTGCCCGTGCCTGTTACTTACCTCGCCTGAAGTGCACATGCCTGTTACTTACCTCGCCTCAAGTGCACATGCCTGTTACTTACCTCGCCTCAAGTGCACATGCCTGTTACTTACCTCGCCTGAAGTGCACATGCCTGTTACTTACCTCGCCTCAAGTGCCCGTGCCTGTTACTTACCTCGCCTGAAGTGCACGTGCCTGTTACTTACCTCGCCTGAAGTGCACATGCCTGTTACTTACCTCGCCTCAAGTGCACATGCCTGTTACTTACCTCGCCTCAAGTGCACATGCCTGTTACTTACCTCGCCTCAAGTGCACATGCCTGTTACTTACCTCGCCTCAAGTGCACGTGCCTGTTACTTACCTCGCCTCAAGTGCACGTGCCTGTTATAGTGTTCACCTGTTGCAGTGTTCACCTGTTATAGTGTTCACCTGTTATAGTGTTCACCTGTTATAGTGTTCACCTGTGCAGGGAACGCTACACAGCTCTGATGTAACGCTACATCAATCCAACCCTGATGCTCAGTGCGCCATCAACCACGTTCTGCATCCTCAATGATAACTCATCCAAACGTATAATGGCATTCACTACCAGCTCCAAATGCAGATAGCAAGCCACAATAACATTGTTGAACATTAGACACCCATTAAGCCACATATTTGGAAAGGAGGGAAGTGACGACGTTTCGGTCCGTCACACTACTTGATCCGGGTCAAAATGTCTCCAGCTTTTTATTTTCAGATATTTGAGTTGGGTCTATAACTCCATATACGCTCAATATGGCCTTTATAGACAGTCTCTATTCACCCACTCTCTATATATGCTGATCCTTCCCAGAGCACCATGACTGTACCCAATAGTGTCCCATCCCCAGGTCAATCCCATCCCCAGGTCGATCCCATCCCCAGGTCGATCCCATCCCCAGGTCGATTCCATCCCCAGGTCGATCCCATCCCCAGGTCGATCCCATCCCCAGGTCGATCCCATCCCCAGGTCGATCCCATCCCAGGTCGATCCTATCCTCAAGTCGATCCCATCCCCAGGTAGATCCCATCCCGAGGTAGATCCCATCCCCAGGTCGATCCCATCCCCAGGTCGATTCCATCCCCAGGTCCACGTTAGATACATAGTTAACAACTCAAACATTGCTATAAATATTTAATCCACATAGTCCCTCAGAGAATCGAACCCTGAACTGCATGGTGGCAAATCCGAAACTTTACAACTGGGTCAGGGTACCCAGGAGGAGGAAGAGAGTGCCCAGAGCATGACTTGGAGGACAAACTTTGACTTTGGGACAAAAATGTTGAGTTAGACTCCCCGAGAACCCTAGGGATACCAAGGCTTCCTTACTGGTGCGTCAACAACTCACGTTTTATTCGGCCTACGGACACGCGTATGGATAGGTTAGTGGGGGGTGGGGGATGGGAGATGGGGGTTTGGTTGAGGCCCGGACACACTGTGCTACGTTAACCTTTAAGCTGCTAGAGCCTTAATGTATGCTTGTCACATGTGTGAGAAGTGGGCCAAGTGCTGTTGCTTCTGGTGGAGGCTTTCGGACCCAACAAGAGACTGGATACATACTAGGAGACTCACCGGTGCCTAGGGTGAGTACAGGTGTGAAGGCAGACAGGGCTAGTGGTGGAACTAGGAGACTCACTGGTGCCTAGGTACAGGTGTGAAGGCAGACAGGGCTAGTGGTGGAACTAGGAGACTCACTGGTGCCTAGGGACAGGTGTGGAGGCAGACAGGGCTAGTGGTGGAACTAAGAAACTCACTGGTGCCTAGGGACAGGTGTGGAGGTAGACAGGGGTAGTGGTGGAACTAGGAGACTCACCGGTGCCTTGGGACAGGTGTGGAGGCAGACAGGGCTAGTGGTGGAAGTGGTGGTGGACGGTGCAGCTGTGCCGCTTCCTGCCTGAGGCTTCAAAGGTGAAGGGCTTCACCTTCGTCACCACTTTCGTCGACACCTGCGGGGACAAGCAACAGGTAGTTGGGGCGGACACTCTTGTACACGGAACCGGTCCATTATTCTTCAAGCATTTATGCAACCCCTTACGAAACATATACATCTTTCCTCAAGTATAGCACTTTTGTTAACACTTATTAAATATTTCATGAGCTCCAGAGCACTACTAGGGGTTTAGAAAAGAAATAATATTAGATCGTGACGTTTCCAAGCTGGTACAACGTTCAGTAGTTGTAATCAAAGCAGCAATAATTGAGGAATGATGTACAAGTTTCGTAAAAGCTTGACGAATCCTGGCCCGGGTTTGGAGTTGGGCCTAAGGCCTGTCAACACGTCGGGGGGAGATGGGGTTATTAGGACAACAACAATAACTGGCTGACCAACCAGTAACTTTAATTTAGTACGGAAAATAGTTCAGGACTAATGTACTCTTAATCTATATGTCCAAAAGAGTATATCTGTCTATCTGTCTAACTTTGTAGTGGGAATAGCCCGAGGTATGGGACGGACATAGGCTGGTCGGGCATAACATAAGTGAAATGCTGTAAGAAGTATTAGCCCCTATGGAGATCCACCCCTATAGGGATCCCCCCCCCCTCCCCATGCGATGCTCATGGACTCAGCTGTGAGATAGTTGGTGTGCTTCCATAGAGTGCTTAGTCCTTCATAATAATATATTTTCTGAGAGAAGGGGAAGAGGGAGAAAGCAAAGGGGAAGTGGAAAAGGGGAGAGGGAAGAAAATGGGAAAAGGGTGAGACGAAGGGGAGGAAGGAAGGAAGGGGAGGAAGAGGGGAGGGACGAAGTGGGGAACTAATCAGAGGGGAGCGAATGGGGGAAAGGAAGAGATGGGGTGATGATGGGGGAAGTGGGGGGAAGGAAAATGCGGGGGAAGAGAGGGAGGACGAGAGGAGGGACGGCGGAGGAACAACGGGAAATTGAGGAGGGGGGATAGGGGAGAAGAGGGGAAAAGTGGTGAAAAAGAGGGGGAAGGGACATGAGTGCAGCTGGGTACCCTTCTCTGTATCTCTCACAGAGAATGTCTGTTTATATGTTTGTCTCTCTGTACCCACCTAGTTATGCTTTGGGGGCCGAGCTTCGCCTCTTTGGTCTCGCTTCTCAGCCGTCAATCTACTGGTGTACAGGTTACTGAGCCTACTGGGCTCTATCATATCTACATTTCAAACTGTGTATGGAGTCAGCCTCCACCACATCACAGATTATGCATTCCATTTACTAACTACTCTGACACTGAAGAAGTTCTTTCTAATGTCTCTGTGGCTCATTTGGGTACTCAGCTTCCACCCGTGTCCCCTTGTGCGTGTACCACCCGTGTTAAATAATCCATCCTTGTCTACCGTGTCAAACACTGATAATTTTGTATGTGGTGATCATGTCTCCCCGAGCTCTCCTGTCTTCCAGCGACGTGAGGTGCAGTTCACGCAGTCGTTCCGCGTAACTCATGCCTCTTAGTTCTGAGACTAGCCTAGTAGCATATCTCTGAACTTTTTCCAGCTTCGTCTTATGTTTGACAAGGTACGGGCTCCAGGATGGGGCCGCATACTCCAGGATTGGTCCTACAGTGGTATACAAGGTTCTGAATGATTCCTTGCACAGGTTTCTGAAGGCAGTTCTGATATTATCAAGCCTTGCATACGCCGCTGATGTTATTCCTTTGATGTGGGCTTCAGGAGACAGGTTTGGCGTGATATCAACTCCTTGATCTGTCTCTCTGTCCGTTTCATGAAGTACTTCATCTCCCATTCTGTATCCTGTATCTGGCCTCCTAGTTTCATTACCTTACATTTACTTGGGTTGAACTTTAGTAGCCATTTGTTGGACCATTCCTTCAGTTTGTTCAGGTCATCTTGTAGTCTCCTACTATCTTCCTCGGCCTTAATCCTTCTCATAATTTTTACATCATCAGGAAACATTAAGAGGAACGAGTATATTACTTCTGGGAGATCATTTACATATATCAGAGACAGTATTGGTCCAAGGACTGACCCACTGGTGACGCCCCGCCACTCTAAGACCTCACCCCTCACAGTGACTCGCTGTCTTATGTTACTTAGGTACTCCCTTGTCCAGTGGAATACCTTCCCTTCCACTTCTGCCTACTTGTGCCTGTTTGTATGGTTGTCTGTCTCTGTCTGTCTGTATGTCTGTCTGTCTGCCTGTCTGTCTGTCTGTGTGTCTGTCTGCTAGTATGTCTGTCTTTCTGTCTGTCTGTTTGTCTGACTGTCCAAGGCTGAAGCCCAGACACTTGGGGCTGGTTCCGTCTAACGTTACAGGGAGAATGCTCAGGGTGCGAAACGGACAAATGTTGTGGTTGTTGTTGTTCTCGGTTATACCATTTCTAAATATCGTCTGCCACTGGTGTTGGCTTCTCTATTATATAGAGCACTCATCACCCGTCTTATATCTGTCTGGGGCTTCAGAGTGACTAGTCATACACATTCCAATGTTGGAGAGTTTAGTATAAACTTTTGTGGTGAAGGTGTTGTCTTTAGTTCTCACGTTGACATGGAGGCAAGGGCGTGCACCATCGAGGCCCAGTTCACGGGTAGAATTGAGCACTGAGTTTCGGGTAAGTTAATCCTTTAATCACGATAATTACAATAAATCCGGTTGTCTGATATTTTTGACAAGGCAGGGTGGTCCAGTAGTTAGCGTGACTGGCTGGGGTTCTCTTCGTCGCGGACTTGAGGCATCTCAGAGGCCCAGTTGGTTTTCTCATTCTTCTTCTTCTTCTTCTCCTTATTATTATTATTATTATTATTATTATTATTATTATTATTATTATTATTATTATTATTATTATTATTATTATTATTATTATTATTATACTGGTTTTAGTATTATTGTTATAATTGTTTTATTTTGTTGTTGTTGGTATGCTGCCTGTGTCATATACTGTGTGATGCCATCAGTCACAGTTTGGTGGAAGCATTAATGGCATTGGAACAGATTTGCTTGGTCACAGTTGCTGAAATTAAAATGTTAAAATGGTTTAGGTCAAAGTGCTGATAATCTTGTATTTTGTCCCCAAAACTATATATTTCTGTATGTGTACTTAAGGAATTGTCGGAATTTTCAATATTTTCACAATTAAATGGCGTTTGGCTTTTTTTTTGTACATATGAATTGAATGTTTGTTTGCTGTTAACGTTATTAAGGAATTTATACATCTTTAAAATATCCTCAGTAAAGCAATGGTCTGATATGAGTCTGACACTTGTTGAATCAAGTAGTCAGCAGATAACTATGAGGCAACTCACACGAGGAGCACACACAACAAAACATTCGAGAGGAGGCTGTAAACCAAGATAAATAAGACAAATACCAAGATAAAAAAGAACTTTTCCCCTTATTTTCATAATTATTACGCACGATAAGAGCCGCACCTTAGCACCAGACTTGGCATACTCCTGGACGGCGATCTTACCAGCCCTCTGCAGGGCGGAGTAGGGCGGGGGCTGAGCGTCCCTTCTGAAGGCGGAGCTGAAGTTGGAGAGGCGGGAGGTGCCCACTGAAAAATTGTCGAGGGAGCAGCCAAGGGCCAGAGTCTTGTCTGGCATCGATGGGCGTCGTCGCTGCGGCCTACAGATGAAGGCAGGAAAGGATTTTTCATTATTTTTTTTATTTGGGGTAAGAACTGCCGTTGTAAGGAAGCCTGATTACCTAATTCAGGTCCACCATGACCAGCTTTAGAATCATCCTCAAGATTCAACCCACAACAGATGCCTAACTCACAGGTACCTATTTACTGCTAAGTGAACAGAGGCATCAGATGTACGAAAACGTGCCCAAACGTAGAGTCTTGTGCGAGTACGGAACCCTGGACCACTTGGACATACGAGATTCTTTAAATGGCTTATTTAACTGACATGCTTAAACTCTCCACTTTTATATAGAGACCACCGTGCCTGGTTCAAGTGGATGTAATAACCCAGATGTAATAGCAGTCACTAAAACGAAAATGTGCAGGTGTCACAACAAATGCTGCATTTCCCACGAACTAAAATGTAATATGGAAAGAGAGGTAAGGAGGTGAGACGGAGAAGGAGGTGAAGTGGTCCTGCTGATAAGAAAGGACTGGAGATTCGAGGATATGAATATCCCGGGTTACGAAGGATTCAGAGACCAAATAACATAACAGGCCCCATGACAATGGGAGGATTAAAGATAGTAGTATTAATAATATATAAAACATAAATATATGATATGAAACCCAGACAGGGGCAGTCACTGTCACCTGTAGGAATGGATTCCTACTATAAATAATGGAAGACTTCAACTATAGAAAGCCCGACTTAAAGAACAAAGAATTGAATAGGGGTCACAGAAACAGGGAGAGCTGAACTATTGGAGCTGGCAACAAGAATGTTTGTTTATCCAACATGTCAGGGGACCCCACAAGAAAGAGTGGTAATGATGACCCAGCTAGACTTGACTCTGAACGAGTCAGTTATAAGGGAAACTAATTTCGAAGCTTCCGTGGGAATGAGTGATAATAGTGTATTGATGTGTTGATGTTTGAGTATCTGGTGGAGGTAGGAATACCTTACTCTAAGAACGGATCAGAAAACAAAAGGTAGGCATATCGAAGGAGAATTTACAAAATGAGAAAATTCCAAATAAAAATACCATGCATAACAGAACTCAGAAAAAATGACATGATTAACTACATCACCCAGAATTGTCAGAAAGTAGTAGATAACTCTGTACAGGTTCAAAAGGAAAAAATAAAAAAGTATGAAAACGTCAAAATTAAATAAAGCAAAGACCAAACCCAGATTACTTCGCAGACACATCAGGAGACAAAAAAGTGAAGGAACAGGCAATGAAACTGAGAACAGTTGAAGACAGACACACTGACAATGACAAAGAAGTGTATGAGGAACTCAACAAGAGATTCCAGAGGTTTTCACAACTGAGAAAGGAGAAAGTCCTGAACTAAGATAGGGAGGCATCAAATCAAGAATCACTGAAGGAATTTGAGATTTCAGATGGTGAGGTAAGGAAGCATTTTCTGGAACTGGACGTGAGAATATTAGGCCAGATGGAATCTCACCCATGGATACTAAAAGAGGGAGCAGAAGCACTTTGCTTGGCGCTCTCCACTAATAGGTCACTGGTACCAGCTGAACTACCAAAATGTTGGCAGACAGCTAGTGTAGTCCTGATATATAAGAAGGGAAACAGACAGGAGGCACTGAACTACAGGCCAGTGACCCTACCTTGCATACCATTCAAAATGATGGAGAAGATTGTGAAATAAATATAGTGGAACATCTAGAGAGAAGGAACTACGTAGCACATCACCAGCTTAGAATTATTGATAGTAAATATTGCCTTACGGGTTAAATAGAAATCTATGACCAGGCGACAAAAAAGAAAAGGGAACTAGTGCAAAAGCTGTAGAAGCTGGCAGGAGTCACGGGAGAGGTGCTCCAGCGGACAATGGAGAACCTAAGCATCAGAAGACAGCGAGTTACTCCCCCAGGCCTAGAAACACTTCAAGATGTTACACGACCAATGACCACATTCACTCCAAAAAACTACCACCCACGAGCCACCTCCTGTGGTGGCTTAATCTTCATAAATTATCAATCGCAAGTTACTGTGATGGGTAAATTCTCAGTGGCGAGATGTCACTAGCAGAATCCAATTCCACACAACTCAGTTTCCTGCTTCATATATATATATATATATATATATATATATATATATATATATATATATATATATATATATATATATATATATATATATATTCTTAGACCTTCTTAGTGTGGCAATCCAGAGAGGAAATTGCCACTGCATCCATGGTTCCTGCCCGCCATCTGAGGAGCTGGAGGAGCTGTTAAACTTGTGACAATCAGCCTTGTACTCTGCATGTAATCAATATTGTAACTTTTTTTGTGTAATGACATTTTCAAATAAAGTTAGATAAATATACACACATACCAAAAGAATAGGGGTGGTAGGAGAAGAAAATATCAAATTGCTCAGTGAGGATCCACAAGGTCTTCTCTGAGTTCTCTTTATTTTCTTCTCCGAGGCTATAGGTCCCTACACTTGCACCAGAGGTGGTACCCCTTCTATATATATATATATATATATATATATATATATATATATGCGAACAAGCCTGAATGGTCCCCAGGACAATATGCAACTGAAAACTCACACCCCAGAAGTGACTCGAACCCATACTCCCAGGAGCAACGCAACTGGTATGTACAAGACGCCTTAATCCACTTGACCATCACGACCGGACAAAATGAGGTGATAGCCGAGGCTATTTGAACCACCCCACCGCCGGCACTCGGATAGTAATCTTGGGCATAGCATTTTACCAAATCACCTCATTCTTTGGGGCACACGTGAGGAACACAAATGCGAACAATGTTCGCAAGAAATGTCCTGGGGACCATTCAGGCTTGTTCGCATTTGTGTTCCTCACATGTGCCCCAAAGAATGAGGTGATTTGGTAAATGCTATGCCCAAGATTACTATCCGAGTGCCGGCGGTGGGGTGATTCAATAGCCTCGGCTATCACCTCATTTTGTCCGGTCGTGATGGTCAAGTGGATTAAGGCGTCTTGTACATACCAGTTGCGTTGCTCCTGGGAGTATGGGTTCGAGTCACTTCTGGGGTGTGAGTTTTCAGTTTTTATATATATATATATATATATATATATATATATATATATATATATATATATATATATATATATATATATATATATATATATATATATATGTCGTACCTAGTAGCCAGAACGCACTTCTCAGCCTACTATGCAAGGCCCGATTTGCCTAATAAGCCAAGTTTTCATGAATTAATGTTTTTTCAACTACCTAAGCTAACCTAACCTAACTTTTTCGGGTACCTAACCTAACCTAACCTATAAAGATAGGTTAGGTTAGGTTAGGTAGGGTTGGTTAGGTTCGGTCATATATCTACGTTAATTTTAACTCCAATAAAAAAAATTGACCTCATACATAATGAAATGGGTAGCTTTATCATTTCATAAGAAAAAATTTGCGAAAATATATTAATTCAGTAAAACTTGGCTTATTAGGCAAATCGGGCCTTGCATAGTAGGCTGAGAAGTGCGTTCTGGCTACTAGATACGACATATATATATATATATATATATATATATATATATATATATATATATATATATATATATATATATATATATATATGAATAGACTAATTCTTTTCAATGTTTGCTGATGAGTCTAAAATTATGAGGAGGATTAAGAGAGGATGATAGCAAGAGGCTACAAGATGATCTGGACAAACTGAAAGAATGGTCTAATAAATGTCTATTTAGAGTTGAACTGAAGTGAATGCATGTTAGTAATGACACTAGATGGAGGGAGCAGGAGGCCGGACACATAGTCCTAAATGGGAGATTAAATCCCTCATGAAACAGATAAAGAGAAGGTTCAAGGGGTTGATATCAGACCTTCTGAAACCTACATCGGGAGGATAACATCAGCGATATAAGCGAGACTGGCAAACATAAGAACTGCTATTATAAATTTGTGTTAGACTGTTCAACACGCTTCCACTGCACATAAAGGGGCATAACTGGCCGACCCCTCAGAGTGTTTAAGAGGGAGAACTTGATAAACACCTCCAAAGGATGCCTGATCAGCCAAGCTGTGATTATCTAGTCAAGCACAAGACGAAGCTGGAGAAGGTCCAAAGGTATAGACCAGACTAATCCCAGAACTACGAGGTATCAAGTACTAGAAAATGCAACATGGATTGAACCTCACGTTGCTGGAAAACAGAAGAATTAGTGGAGAGTTGATTACCAATTCTCAGAGGAATTGATAAAATAGGTATAGACTAGTTAATTAGCACAGGTGGTACTTAATACGCAAAAGGGGACACCGATGGAAAGCAAGAACTTAAAGGAGCCACACAGACATTAGAATGACTTTTTCACTCATAGTTAACAAATGGAATGCATTAGCAAGTGATGTGGTGGAGGCTGACTCCATACACAGTTTAAAATGTAGATATGATAGAGCTCAATAAGCTCAGGAACCTGAACATCAGTAGTTTGATAGTTGAGAGGCGGGACCAAGAAGCCGAAGCTCAAAACCCGGCATGAACAATTAGGTGAACACACACCAACACTCACCATCCAACACCCCACAAACCAGTCCAGACCACAACCCGTTCTCGCACTTGCTTATAGACAATATTGGCTTATTTAATAAGTGCATATGTGACATACTAATTGATTGGGAATATTTTAGTTTACCTTGAAAAGCTTCATAGAAAACACCGACCTCACCTAACCTTCTTAGTATGTTAAGATAAGCATCTTATTGCTTCTTAATTACAATTATTACTTGACCTATACCGTTGATAGGTTAAGTAATAATTGTAAATAAGAAGCAATAAAATGCTTATCTTAACATACTAAGAAGGTTAGGTGAGGTCGGGGTTTTATGAAGCTTTTCAAGGTAAACTAAAATATTCACAATCAATTAGTATGTCACATATGCACTTATTAAATAAGCCAATATTGACTTTAAGCAAATGCGAGAACCAACACCCACCAACCAGCCCAGACCAACACCCACCAACCAGCCCAGACCAACACCCACCAACCACTCCAGACCAACACCCACCAACCACTCCAGACCAACACCCACCAACCAGCCCAGACCAGCACCCACCAACCAGCCCAGACCAACACCCACCAACCAGCCCAGACCAACACCCACCAACCAGCCAGACCAACACCCACCAACCACCAGACCCACAGACCAACCACTCCAGACCAACACCCACCAACCAGCCCAGACCAACACCCACCAACCACTCCAGACCAACACCCACCAACCACTCCAGACCAACACCCACCAACCAGCCCAGACCAACACCCACCAACCACTCCAGACCAACACCCACCAACCACTCCAGACCAACACCCACCAACCAGCCCAGACCAACACCCACCAACCACTCCAGACCAACAACCACCAACCACTCCAGACCAACACCCACCAACCAGCCCAGACCAACACCCACCAACCAGCCCAGACCAACACCCACCAACCAGCCCAGACCAACACCCACCAACCAGCCCAGACCAACACCCACCAACCACTCCAGACCAACACCCACCAACCACTCCAGACCAACACCCACCAATCAACAAATACAAACTCCTGTTAACTAGCTCAAACTCAGACTACCAGTAAGTTCCACTACCCACTATCCAACACCCACCTGCTGGGGGCTAGGCCGAAGGTCCTGCCTCGCGGGGTCTGGTAGAGCCTGCTCACGGCGCTCGGGGTAGATTTTAAGGACTTCTCCATCTCCTTCCTGAAGGCTTCCCTGGCAACTTCCAGCTCTTTCGCTCGTTCCAGGCGCTCTCTCTCCGAGTCCTCCAGCCTTCTCTCCCAGATCATGTTGAGACGCGGACCATACCCGTGATGGCTGCGTCTGGACTCGCTCTGCAATGTTAACAATGCGAGAATATAGAAATATTTTTTAGATAAACTTCTACATTTTTAGTTATTCTGAATTACAATATAAAGGAACATATAGTCGTTGTGCGAAGTAAGAAGCCAGAGCACTATTATATGGTTTTATATATATATATATATATATATATATATATATATATATATATATATATATATATATATATATATATATATATATATATATATATATAATTGACTGCGTCTGTTATTCTGACGTATCTTGAAGGGAAAACCAGATATCTTCAAATGACGACCCTGAATGTGACTTGATTTCGTTTCGTATCATTAAGAAAACACAAAATCCATAACGATTAACAAGACAAAACATATCTACATTTATTTATATTATAATTAAATGTCACATATCAACAATGGTCTTATAACATCAGTGTACCCAGTAACACCAGTGCACACAGGAACACCAGAGCACACTAACACCAGTGCACACAGGAACACCAGAGCACACTAACACCGGTGTACACAGTAACACCAGTGTACTCACCAGTCACCACAGAATACCTAATAACGAAAGTGAACATCATAATAATGCTCAAAGTGCATCTGTTAGCAAACAACTTCAAAATGGGTACTAACGGGGAAGAACATCTTACTATACTACAATGGAATTGCAATGGAGTTCGCAATAGAATTAATGACATCATACAGTACGCCCGTGAACACCAAACTGACGTCATAGTGCTACAAGAAACACTGGTGGGTGATGACTTCAACCCAAGATTCAGCGGTTATCAAAAGTTCTCCCTTCCAGCTGGGGAAAGAAAACGGGGCCTCACTACCTTTGTTAGTACCAACATTCCGGTACAGATTATTGATGACCTGCACATGGGGGATGAGTATGAGTCACTGGGGGGTAACCCTTTACTTAAACAATAATGCCCTACATATAATCAACCTATATGTGCCACAGAGTAAACTTGACCTTGACACACTGCCTGAGTTTGTTAATGAAGAACCTACCCTGCTGGTCGGTGACCTTAATGCCAAGCACACACACTTTGATGCCAACTGTCATCAGCCCAATGTCAATGGACGGAAACTGTCACTCTTTGTTAGGGGAAGTGAAAACCTTAGAGTATTGGGTGATGAACAGTCAACTCACCTCAGAGGCGGAAGATTGGACTATGCTCTCCTGCTGAATACACAGGACACGGATGCCAGTACACACATTGTGCACAGTTTATGTAGTGAACATTGGGCACTGATTACCACCGTCGACATGAGCAAGAGAAAGAAAGAGACAAATAAAAGAAAATGGTTATCACTCGGACCAGATATGAGGCCGCACTTCATAAACGGGATGAGTGACTGGTTCACGGAATACCAAATCCCAGAAGACATTAATACATTTGATGATGACTTTAATAACCAAATTGAGTTCTGTCTCAGAGTTCCGCGCCGTACGCCTAGGCGCAGTAACCCTCAGAAGAGGAAATAAAATGGTATGAGAACATTACATAAAGATGCTCAATGCAAATGTTAGGAGCATGAGTAGAGAGTACCGGAGACATCCCACTGAAAGCAACCAAGAACTGTTCAGAACTGTGTGTCGAGTAGCCAGGGAAGAGAAGATTAGAGAGCGGGAAAGACAATGGTTTGAATTCACTAGCTCCATTGGAAGAAAAACATCTGCAAGACAAGTATGAGCAAAAATTCAGATAACTAAGGGGGGCAGAACCCGGCCTACAGCTCACAAAGACCCCCAGGGTAAGGCTGAAGAACTAATTCACAAGTGGAGTAATGCAACATCCTCCTCCTCCCTCCCTACAGAAGTAAGCAGGGAACAGCTCCTCAAACATGATGACAGAAGAATTAGGATAACAAGAGCACTGTCTAGTGATGACGAATATGGGGAACCAATCACAGCCCAAGAAGTAAGGGGCGCTATGAAAAAGGGTAAATGTACAGCACCTGGTGAAGATGACGTCACCTACGACATACTCAATGCACTGTGTGAAGTGCCTCGGAATCCACTACTCCACCTGTTTAACAAATCATTCCGAAGTGGAGCGTTGCCCACACAATGGAAACATGCAATAATTGCTCCCATACCGAAACCCAATGACCCTGGCAATTACTGACCTATCAGTCTTATGTCATGCACTTGCAAGTTGCTTGAAAGGATCATTCTAAACAGACTGTTGCTCAAAATATGCAGGTTAGGGGAGGGGGGTCAATGGATTTGTTAAATGATGGAGCACAGCAAATTGTATAGTTAATTACCTGGGTAATGACACAGCTAAGTACTCTGTATTTGTCGACATCAAAGGAGCTTTCGACAAAGCACATGGGATTGTGATCCTGGACGAGCTTGCATGCATGGGTGTCAAGGGGAGACTCATGAAATGGATTGAAGACTATTTCACAGCGAGAAAAGCCAAGGTCTGCTTCAATGGAGCAGTCTCCAGAACAATGAATATGGAACTAGTCTTCCCTGGAAACACAAACCGAAACTGTCTCTATTTTCCGCCCTTGTAATAAAGTTGTTACATCTTGGCTTAAAGAGTATTAGAGTTACAACTTCTTAACTGGTTAGGTGGTGCCCTAGTTTCGGTGTGTGTTTGGCGGGTTAAGCCCTTATTCAATGTACTTATGAATGCCATTGCAAATAATGATTTTCTGGAAGGAACACAATAAGTGGGATATGCAGATGATGTTCTGTTACGGACCCGAGTCCAGCGTCCTAGCACGGAGCGGTGACGACAACGCCATCTGTGGGTCAGCTCCCAAAACCCCCTCCAAATGGACGACGCCATCTAGTGAGGACGGGATATACCGGCCACAGGGGCTCGATTCCCACCTTAATCAGCTCGTAACATAGCCGCTGCTGACCTCTGGTGAGGTGGCGCTTAGACAGCAACGCCATCTATGGAGTGGATAAGTGGACGTTTGTGTCTAAGCCTCTAAGTGAGGTGCCCTAGAGTGTCCCCAGCACTAATGATGTGTCTGATTACAGAGTCGACCTGGGACTGCTGAATCGGACGATGAGGCAGTCTACCCAAGGCAGCCATTGTCTCTCCACGTGTTTGCTGCAGAAGCTGTGAGTCACCCCCGGACGTACACTGTTGAGTGTGTTAGCCTGCCTGTGACGTGGCAGTACCAGGGATCGTCTTATCTGGGGGCTGGCTGGTGGAAGAGACTAGCCACTGTGGTGCTATAGAGAGGAGAGTGATCAGCGGGATCACACGAGGCTCCTGCCTAGGGCTCGCAACCCTAGTATCGGTCGTGGAGTGGCATACACAGCGGAGCTGATTGGAACCTGCCAGCTACAGGCTGGATTTGTGGTTGAAGACCTCCACGACGGTGCACCCAGTGGGACTGATTTGGCTGGCCTGTGGCCGGGGTAGATTCGCCGAAAGAATCAGAGGATTCATCGAGGGCCACGACGAAGAGAACCAGGACTACTCATCGTGAGCACCGTGGAGCATCCCGTGTCTTCAGAGGAAGACGATTCTGTACATTGTGTATTTATACCCCCCGTGTGACAGTTTATATATTTATTTATGGTGGTGGTGATTATATATATATATCTGAGCATTTGTATCCCTTCCCCTTTAATTTACTTGCATCACGGAACACACCCCTTGAAAGCCACTACTAACTTGGGGCCGGATACCTAAACTCTAATAACATCAGAGAAGAACCCAGTTGCAACCCAATAGGGCCATAACATAATTGGCATCCCCAGCGGGATCTGACTCCTTGTCAAGTATGTTTGACAGGGGTGGTGAAGTAGCGCAATCCCCTGTAAATAATTCCCCCTGTGTGTGACTATTAGGACGTTATACGTCCTGTGCGGTGCTCGGAGTGATTCAGTGCAATATTGTAGAGTGCGGTGCTCGCTGTGATTAAGTGCAATATTGTGTAGTGTGGTGCCCGGTGTAATTACGTGCAATATTGGCAAGTGCGGTATTAGGTGCGATAAAGTGCAATATTGGTGTAGTACAGTGCTAGGTGCGATTAAGTGCTAAAGTGAAAGTGGTGTGTTAAGTGCTAGTGTTCCATCTAAGTGACAATGGCAGAAAAAGCGACCATCGACGATCTGGACGATGTTCAGGCCTTTCTGAACAGGGAGGACTGTCTTGCCAGATTGAAATATCTGGGGAAACCAGAACTTGTGTTAGTGAGTGCCTTTCTGGAGATCAAAATACGTGCAAGTGATTCCCGTGTGGAGATCTTGTCTAAGGTTCACAAACACTTGAAGGCCGAGGAGAAAAAGGAAAGCGAGGCACATAGTATAAAGGAAGGTGAGGAAATAGCTTCCACTGAAAAGGAAGGTAAGGGCAGTGATGTCGAAAGTGATGAGAGTGAACTGGATATAAGTTTACTTACTGTGAAAATGCGTGAACTAGAGATCCACCGTGAAATAGAATGGAAAAAGCTAGAAATCGCTAGAGAGAGAGAAGAGAAAGCGAGAGAGAGAGAAGATAAGAAATTAGAAATGGAAAGAGAGAGACTAGGAAAAGAATTAGAGATGAGGCGTTTAGAATTAGAACGAGAAGAAAGAAGAGAAGAGCGAGAAAGAGAAGAGAAACGAGAAAGAGAAATGCGAGAAAGAGAAGAGAAACGAGAAAGAGATTAGCGAGAAAGAGAAGAGAAACAAGAGAGAGAAGAGCGAGAAAGAGAAGAGAAACGAGAAAGAGAAGAGCGAGAAAGAGAAGAGAAACGAGAAAGAGAAGAGCGAGAGAGAGAAGAAAAAGAAAAAGAGAGACAACATGAGCTAGAAGTATTGCGATTAGGCGGTGGGAGGCAAACAATGGAAACAAGTAGTTTCGATCCGGTAAGGAACATCAAAATGGTCCCGAAGTTCAACGAGAAAGAAGTTTCGAAGTTCTTCGCAGCCTTCGAGAAGGTCGCAGCTTCTTTGGAATGGCCAAAGGAGAATTGGGCCATCATGATACAGTCCGTCTTGACTGGGAAGGCCCAAATCGCCTACTCCACGTT